GAACCACAAGCAGCATTTCTATGTTAGATTATATACTTGTCTTGGCTATGTAATTCATCCTTCTTTCTCTTCCGATGCCCCGCCTTCAATGAAGAGTTTGGGTAGGAAGGAATTTAAAATATCTAGTTCCCACTGCCCTGCCATGTGCAGAGACACCTTTCACTAGACCAGGGCTCAAAGTCCCATCCAACTTGACCTTGAACACTGTCAAAAATGGGGTACTCGACTTTTATGTGGACTTGGAAGTTGTAAGTTAAGAACTTTACATCAATGACACTGCACACCAGCATGACTCCAAGGAGGAAAACAGACTCTCCTCCTCAGTTACAAACTTCCAGTACTGAAAAATAGGGCAGAGAGGAGGGAAAGAATATTTCATTTGTCTTCCCCTTCCTATGCCTGTATGCCACATTTTTGGACTTGAGTCACTGTTACCCAATTTCCAAAAGGAGATTCCATATTAGGTAGCCAAAGTGAAGCCTGTTTTATACCAATTGTATTGTTAATGTACCTGCAACTGTCAAATAATAAAGTAACCTGCCAAGTTACAAACAATGGCTTTTTCTTTTTTTTTTTAAAAAAGTATATTACTACAGTAGCATTTAAATTTATACACTTTGTTCAGCTGATACATTGTACAGTACAGGGTAGTGTCAAACCTTTCATACTTGCCAAAGAGTAACATGGCAAAAGGGTCTGCCAGGGCAGCACCAGCTACTGAGCAGGTGGTGAGCCTGGGAACTGCCCAGGGTACAAATCCTGCCCCTTCTGCTGCCATCATTCTGAAAGCTGATCACTCCATATTTCTGTCATTCCCCCCATAACAAGATTAAAAAGCACATACTTGCTTTTTGAAAAGTGTTTTGAAACGTAGAGATTAAAATAAAATTACAAATATTTTTTCTTTCCAAGTAGCTATACAAGTAATACTTTTAATAACCTCTGTTGCCCAAACCGAGGAAGCGAGTCAAAGAAAAATAGAATAACCACAGATTGAGAGAAAGCTGGCTCCTTTAAACTCTTTGTTTAAAGGTAAGCAGAAGCAGCAATAACTAGAACAGTTTTATTCACATGATGATTTCAGCTTTTGCAAGTGTTGCATCTCCTCTCACTGCTATAGAACGAGGAACAGAGTGGCCTATTTTCTACTTGACTCATGCATCCCACTATTCCTTGCACTCCTGACAAACCAACAGTGGTATCTTTTAAGCTTGCTGACTCATGTATATATCCTCCTGCAGGTGAACTGACATCCTGGTGTAGGAACAGAAATACTTTGCAGTAGCCTGGACCTAAAGACTGATCATTCTGAAAGAGTAAAATGAAATAATTTAGCCATATACAACAAACTACAGAATTTCCAAACCTTGCTTCATCTTCAAAATTGCCCCTTGTATGCAAAGGAGATACAGGAAGTGAAAATAACTACGAACAATACTGTAGCTTAAACTGTGATCAAAGAAGTGGCAAGGAACATAACAAGGAGAGGTAAGGCATGAAACAAAACCACATTTTCCTAACCATAACTGGAAAAACTGCATTCTTTGTTTTACCAGGCAGACATGGATATGTCCAAAAAAACAGCTAAGAACTTGACATTGACAACAGAACTGCAATCATGAGTGTTATATCACAATCTGCACCCTCAAAGCCACTGGTCCAGTTCTAGTGTACACTGAAATAAACCATTAGACAGCTTATATAAATACCTATTTTCTACCCCTTCCAGACTACAAAGATATTAATGAAAGTTTCATAAACCCGGGTGCCTAATTTAGCTAAATGTATAACACAGGTAGTACCTCTAGACCTCATCAGACCACACAAACACTACTGAAGTAAATAGAAGCTGCAGGTCCTCAATGTCTTTAAAAACTTGTTCCTGCAGTGCATGGAAATGTCACACCAACATTGTTCCAATCTGACTGTCTATTTGAAAAAAAAAAAAAAGAACTTTCATAGAAATCAGTCAGCTCACTAGAAATGTGTCCAAATGATATTCTACTCCAGGCTGAAAAAGCCAAACTAAGCTGTTACTTTGTCAAAAAACTGCTTTATGCCCAAACCATTAATGGAAATCTAAGCAATGCAACCGCTTTTTTTACAAGTATTTTATCAAACAGCTTGCCAAGCTCCATATAAACACATTTTACTATTTCATAAACTTTATAGGCCAAGTTTTTGAAATGTGAAGTGACAGGCTCTCAGTGGAATTTCTGCAGAGCTACAAGGTTTTTATTGCCCTCAGGCCCCCGAGACTGTAAATTGACTATATGAATCAAGTAGCCAGAATATCTGCCTTTTATACAGGACTGCCTTGCAAATTGGAAATACTGAAACAGCCTCTATGACCAGCCATAGAAGAATTCCTTTACACGAGGCTCAAAATGCCTCAGTGATCAGCACACAATAAGCATACACCACTGCTAGGTTTCTGTTGCCAACAGTGGAAGAAGTTTCTCTCTGTCATTAAAGACCCCTTAAAGTTACGAACTAATGCTAAATATCCCCCAACTCACAAATATACTTTAGCTAGGTATTTACATAAGGAAATCATCTTATCTTCATGATTCTGGTTGTTTTCTAATTTTTTTTCTAACTTGTTCACATCCTACTTTCATCCAAGGTCCTAAAGTTACGCAAAAGCAACTAAGAGTGAACTCACTAATGCCATAAAAATTAAAACAAAACAAACTAACAAACAAAAAGAATAAGCCAGTTTCCAAGCTCCATGAAGTAAAGCTTCAGTTTTTACTTTAATGAGTGTTTAATGAGTACAGCTGAACGTGTGCCACATCAATCTACTGAACAGCACTGAAACTTTGCACTTCCGTTTACAAGTTACCTTTCTTAACGGCTCAAGGTCTCCCTTTGATTACTCCCAGCTCTAACACATAAGCTATCTTTTTATCATGTTTACTTCTGCTTTACCACTATCCATTTGCATTTGTAATGCTATTACTACTGTAGGCATTTTGAAGATATGTCCTCTATGGTGCCTTGTAGCACCCAAGTAATTCCTGCGATGGTTTTCCATTGCACATGATGGAAATCAAACCAGTAAGTTAGAAACAGACATCAACGTTCTTTATTTTTTTTTTTTTTCATAAAACAGTAAACCCACAGCTCTGTCTTTTTTATGCTGTTCTTACAAGGAGTAATTCTAGGATTACAAAATCAAAGAACAGCAAAAAACAGTTCACTAGCATTTTTGGTGGTTTTATTATCGCTTCCTTTCATATACCTAATATATAGAGATAATAAATTAATTAAAACTTTAAAAAAATAGAGAAAACCATGACCACTTAACCCAAAAATATTGGAAGAGTTCAGTGGCAGCTGTAATACCTGGAAAAGCTTTAATATTTCCTTTTCAAGTTAGCTAAGGTTATTCCTAAGGTTGCAGAGCAAGAATCAGAGCTCATTTCCTGGTATTTAATCCTCCACTGGAATTAGTGTGCTACCTTTCAGTTATTAATCACTTTGATACTACAGCCTTTTAACTCAGAGTTTAAATTGTCATTGCACATGAATGCAATTTATGCCTACAGAAAAATCCCTGAACTTCTCTACTAATCTAAAGCAGCAGCGTTCCATTAACCAATTCCAAAATTTTATTTAAAAGTTGTCATTTTTCCACATTTAGTCTCTTCTTTTTCAAAGTTTCAGTTGGCTATAATGGAAGGCTTCAGCCTTTAGCTTTCTGATAGAAAGGGATCACATCTAATTTGCAAGTACATTTTATTGAACTTTACAGTATGTTCAGAACACTTCTGCAAACACTTCTGCTGTGTTTGTGCACTAGTCACACTGCACAGTGAAAAAGGGCTTAATGGCTCTTCTGAAAGCAAAGGGTTGTATTTGGAACCCACATCTGGGCAAGAGCCTTGGTCAAACCCCAGGACTGCTTCCCTTCAACAACTGCACACCAGCCAAGCAATCCCAAATTGCAATCTGAGCTCCCCATCGCTTTCTCAACCACAGTACGTGGAAGTGCATCCATGCAATATCTACCCCATGGTGCCAGCTCTCTCTTCCCCAGGGAAGGGAAGGAACCCTTGCTTAGCCAACATATGTGGACTTAATGGCTAAATGATCTCTTTGGATCTCTCCACCAGCAAGGTGTTTGGGGACAAGTGTATCGTGCTCTCTCATGGGAAACTGATGGAGACACACCTCCTACACACCTGTGTGTAGGTTACTGGGCAGAAGCTGCCAGTTCTGCCGGCAAGGAGCGTCCCAGACACGCCATCAAGCCAAGCCTGTCCGACTTTGGCTTCAGCGGGGTAGCGGGGGCTGGGACCAGACCAGGGACCAACACACGCCCCGGGAGCTTCCCGGGCCGCTCGGGCGGGAGCATCCGGGGAGTGGCAGTCGGTAGCCAGGTGCTCCTTGCATCAAACTTGCTCGCTTCCCAAGCCCCTGCGAGTTCTCGAAGCAGAACGTCAAAGCACGAACGCGGTCACATAAAAGATGAAAGGCAGCGACCTGAAACACGGCGTGAAAATCCAAAGGCGACCCCAGGGCACAGCCTGCTCTCACCGCACCACCAGGGATGGAGTGGGAGCGGGGACAGAGCGGGACGAGGTTTAGGTTGGACATTCAGAATAATTTCTTCACAGGAAGCGTGATTAGACATTGGAACGGACTGCCCTGGGAGGTGGTGGAGTCACGGTCCCCGGAGATGTTTAAGGAAAGACTGGACATGACACTCAGTATCGTGGTCTAGTTGACAAGGTGGTGTTCGCTCATAGGTTAGACTTGATGATCTCAGACGTCTTTTCCAACCTGACTCTGTGATTCTGAGCAGCCGGGCACCGACCCCCGGGGCCGGAGCACCAGGGCCCGCTCCCGGCGCGGGCGGAGGACGGCCGGGCGGGCTCCGCGCTCCAGCCCCCGCGCTGCCACAAACTTTCCGGAGAGGGAGGGAGAGGAGGGGAGGGCGCCGGCGCGGGGGGGGAGAAGGGAGGAAGGAAGAGGGTACTCGGCGCGGCCCTTACCCGTCCTTGCGGCGGGCCTTGTAGACGTGCCCGTAGGTGCCTCTGCCCACCTTGCATCCCTCGTACTCGAACAGGTCCTCCACCCGCTCGCGCTCGGCCGCCAGCTTCGACTTGAACTCGTAGTCCATGTCTCGCCCATGGGCGGGGAGGGACGGGCGGGCAGGGGGACGCGGCGGCCCGATCAGCACCCGCGGCTGGCGAAGCCCCCTCCCGGCGCCGCCATGTCCGAGGTTCGGTGGGGGCGGCGGGCGGGGGGGGGACAGGGGGCGGTTTGTTTTTGTTTTGGTTTGGGGCTTTTCGGCGGGGGGGGGGAGGGGGCGCGCTCCGCCGCCGCCACCCGCTTCAACTGGGCTCCTCGCGGCGCGGCGCGAAGTCTGCCGGGAGTCGTAGTGCGGCTGCGGGCGCCTGCCCCGCCGCCGCGGGCGGGAACGCCGCGGCGCCAGAACTACAACTCCCGGCATGCCCCGGGAGGCATCGGGCGAGCGGCGTCGGCGCACTGCCCTCCCCGGAGACAGCGGAGCGTTTCAGCGGCCGCCGGGAACTTGCTGACTCTTCACATTGCGGTCAGAGGCGGGAGCGGTGAGCGCGGCCGTACGCGGCGCCTCTGGCTGGCAGGAAGGGACGGAGGGATGTAGGGCGGAAAGGACGGAGGACACGGGCCCCATGCTGTGGGGCGCTGAATAGTGCGGCAACTTGTTTATCTCGCCAGCTGCCACTCACGGCTTGGCCCCGTCCCCCTGCAGGCTGTTGCCCTCTGATTGGTCGGACCGCCCCGCCGTGCCGCGGGTGGGGCGGGGCCGATCCCGGCCCCGGGGGCTGTGGAGCGGCGAGTCCATGTTGGAAACGGAATTCTCAGGGGCGCAGTAGAGCCGGGTGCTGTTAAATAAACCGACCGTTCATAGGAATATAGGGGAGGATACAGCGTTTGCGCTCAGATACAGCCCAGGCGTGTTGCTGTGTCTTTATGATCCGATGCCACAGCAAGGCTATGCCCCTTCAGCACCAAGCAGATTTTTAGACAAAACACGGCGTTGCTGTGAGGTTCAGATTTCATGCGAAGTATTTTGAGATCGCAGAAACATTCAAGCCTCTTAACATTATGTCTCGGCCTTTCAGGGGTATTTCTGTGAAAAGCATCACTCTGTGCAGGCATATTTGCATTATGGAAGTGCCACGCAGAGCTAAACAAATACGAAGAATCACAAAAACCCCACAGGATCGATTAGGTTGGAAAAGACCTCTGATACTATCAAGTCCAACCTGTGACTGAACATCACGACGTGAACTAGATGATGGCACTAAGTGCCACATACAGTCATTCCTTAAACAAGTCCAGGGATGGTGACTCCACTATCTCCTTGGGCAGCCTATTCCAATGTCTAATCACGCTTTCTGGGAACGAATTCTTCCTAATGTCCAACATAAACCTACCCTGGCACAGCTTAAGACTGTGCGGTCTTCTCCTATCTCTAGTTACCTGGGAGAAGTAGTCGACCCTCTGCTAGGTACAACCTCCTTCCAGATAGTTGTTGAGAGTGATAAGGTCACCCCTGAGGTGACCTTACACAACCTGAAGGTTACATCCTGGCCTAGAAGCAAGTGACACTCCCCACCGTGTGAATTCAACATTAGAGTACAACAGTCAGCAGCAAGTGAATGATGCAGAATTAAATTAGAGGAGGGGAAAGTACAAATGGAAGCTGTCCATGTACAGGAACGGTCTTGGTTCATCACCTGCCCAGCCAGCGTTAGTTACCTCAATAGAAAGTTTTTCTACATGCCAGATGGGAGGGGTGGAGAAGCTGAGCTGATGAGAAGCTGTCATTGCTGACAAAGCCCAGGGAGATGTCAACTGCACGATCATGCTATATATGATTACTGGTGCATAGCTAAGTCATGAGGTCGTAACTAGAAGTTTGCTTCTCAGGGAAAGGCAAGAGTGTAACCATTTTGAGGTGATTATTTCTTCCAGAAGGCAATAGATGATTCAGAATTTCCCTAGTGCCAGGTAACTAGCAACCCAAATTCTCAGAAAATTTCATCACTCCTTTACCAAAATAGTATTTTGCAGAGAACAGCAAGTGCTTTTCTCAGCAGTTGCAGATGTGGATATTTCTGAACAAGGCCCGATCATGAACCGGCAATTTCCTAAACAGGAGGAAGAACAGCACTGATCTTTCAGTGTCAACCTTAAAGACTGAAAAAAGCAAGCTTATAGGTTAGTCTACCCAGATATATTCAGCCAGTTTTGACATCAACAGGTATAAGGACTGCCTTGCTGTTGGTAATAATAAACTCTTCAAGTTGTTTGCATTGCCCTCTTTGACCAAAACAATAGCCATTATTGCCCATTTTCACCACTAAGGCTTTTGTTTTTACTCTTTCAATTCCACCACGTACTGACAAGACTGTCTTTATTATAATTCCTTGTAAGTCCATAGCACTAGTGAGAGAGGGCTAACAGCATCCCCCGTTTTAGAAGCCCAGCTAGGCTGGCATTTGTAAGCCAAGGCAGCTTAATTTCCCGTATACCCTATACTGTACCCTAGTGTTGCAAGCAACCATTTTATCCCTTCTTCCATAAAGTGACTGTGCTTTGCCAGTAAATGTTTTGGCCCTTGCTGCTGCTCCGAAGGAGAAGCAGCAGCAGCAAGCAGCCATTTATGGAGCAATGACAGTAAATCATCTGAGAGAAAGAAACAGAACAGTACTGTGACATATCCATTGCTCTTCTAAGTTAGTAGAATGTTGTGATACTGCTAATATGTATTTAATAGCATTCCCTTTCTAAAAAAAGGTGTTTAATTAATTTTATTACTTCTGGTCAGAAGATAAATGACTGTAGCATTTTTAATATGCAATACCCTCTCATTTGTTTAATTGTGCTGATACAGAAAGTCTAAGTAGCATCAGCAAAGAAAACAGAAAATTACAGGCTTGCAGAGTGCAAGCAGGATTTTTTTCAGCCTGCCAGCCTAACTGAAGATGCCTGGTTGTCACTCATTAGAATCACCATTTCCTCCAAATCTCAAGTCACTGTGGTTAAATAGTGCCCGGATTGTTGGAGGTGAAAGGTGTTTTAAACAAGATTGAAAGTTGAGGAATTGAATATTCTCACCAGTTCTCTAAAGAGATCTCCAAGAGAAATAAGACATGAACTTCTAATGTAAAAGGAAAGAATTTGATCTGTAATACTTCAATGTCAAGAAAGTGATACATACAGACCATTTTTCTTCTTTGTAGATTGCCTTGCACTTAAAATACATTCCTATTTTCTTTTCAACTTGCTTCATGGGCAATCTCTTACAGTTCTCTCTTCATGTATTAGTGAGACCAAAAAATAGGTGTTGGGTTTTTTTAACTCTTCTAGGCCACATCTGGAAGTAGTTGCACCTTTTCTTAACTCACTCTCTTTGTAAGCTTTTACTTTTTAATCTAGTGAGAATTTTTTGATTCTTAGGGATCAAGGCAGCATTTTTCCAGTAGATCTTGAGTGGAATATGAATAAACATACACACTCAGTGTTCACTTATGTCAGCCACATTTAAAACCAACGTTGCTTCATTTAAGAGTGAAAGGATGCATGTCAGGAGTCTGAAGGATACAAGCAGAGAAAATTTAGAATGAATAGAGGTCTCACATGATCTATACTTCCATCTCTACAGAAGCAGAGAAAAACAGTTCTATTCCAAAAAATATAGAAGTATACTTGGGATTTTTAAACATATTAGTGTGAGAGTGAGAAGAGCCCAGTGAAAGTGGGACAATATGCCAGAGGATTTCTAATAGAAATAGATTAGAAAGTCTTCAGCTGGCTGTAAGTTCATATGTTATCATTCCCAGTAAAACTCTGAATTTTGAAATCTTTTATGTCAATTAACTTCTAAACTCCTGTAGTAAAAGTATTAACCTTATTATATAGGTTTAAAAACACAGTACATAACTGCGGGGTTCTCTCAAGATTTTACAGTAAATCTAAGGAGCATGCTCAGAATAGAGGGAATGCTGAATGCTGCACTCATGGTATAATTATTTCACTGACTCTGTTTTGTTGGGGATTTTTTTAATTCATTTTTATCATGCCATAATCCAAATAGTACTAAACCAGAAACCTTGTGCTGTTTTTCTTGAGTGTAATCCAAGAACCTGGTCACAGAAAAGTCTGTACTACTTTACACTGTATTTTTTTCCTGAGAAAAAGAAAACCCTCACAAAAGCTATTCTCTATCTTCTCTTTACAGACTGGCAAGAGTGAACAGTTACCTGACAAAAACAAGGTAACTCAGCATTCAGCAATTAAAAAACAGTGGGAGACAGCAAAGTAAAAGTGAAATAATTCTGTGTTGCTCAGTGTGCCATAGTTCATCATTATGCCACTATACCTCAACCTTATTGCTGGTCAACTAGTGTAATCACATGTATATCTTTCTTAGGATATCCACTTACTCCCTGTGAATTGTAATGCAAGATGCACGAGCTTATTTCATTTGAGGAGCAGCATGCAATATTGTGGATTGGCTTCAGTTTGACAGAAAAAAAAAAAAAAACAAACCAGAGGATACGATTAACTAATGCCTTTGTGTTCACATTTGAGAATCAGCATGACAGCTGGTTTAGACGGCAAGCCAATACCTCCAAAGCAGAGATTTAGAGAAAGCCTTGAATTCCAAAAATGTTGAAGTTGCCCATAATTATGGAGAAAGCATAAACTCTTATTCTGAATATAGCAGTCTAAAATTTCATCTTTTGGAGCTGCACAGTCAGTGTAACTGAGTTGCCTTGTCTTTGTTGGTATACATGATTTCAATATTCCTGCATTGTCAGCATCCTCATTCTAACACCACCATATTCCATCTGTGGTATCTCCTTGCCTGTCGTTAAAGTTTTCAGAGGTTAAAAAATACTAAATTTTACTGTAGAATCCACTGGAAAGGACAGTAGCATGTCATAAAAAAAGGAAAGAAGTTGCTTTAATTATCTTTGAAGGATATAAAAGAGAATACAGCAAAACTGCTCTGTCTGATAGCTTTCTGCAGTTAGATTCAGTCCCACAGAAGTAGAACTCTGCTAAACAGATAACCTGAACTGCATCAAGTTTTACTCTTATGTTTTCAATTTTTTCCTTGGATATAATATGTTTTATACCACTGTACTGGCTGAATCCTAAATACAAGCTACAGCTACAGAACAGCATTCTATGACAGGTCTATAGAACATACGTAATTTATACATACAGAGCTATTATTCTTTAGTGTTGCTCCTAGCCAAACAGATTGTGGTTACAAGTGTTTTCAACATTAAATGTTCAAAAGGATGGTAATGAATCTTCTTTGGGTAGGAGACATAGGACAAGAAATAACAAACATCAGTTGTACCAAGTGAGATGTATATATAG